GAGGGGGGGGGGGGGGGGGATCAGAAAGGATTAATCATGTAAAATCAGAAGACCATCTTAAACCAAGATTTTGGTTTGTAAGGTGCCTTGAAAGTTGTTTGGCAACTATGTATCCAAACTAATTTCCAAAGGGGAAACTATGGGGAAGACCCCAATTTTCTAAGACCATTTACCAACCATGCCCACACTATACACTTGCCCTTTGCTGAACTTGTGAATTGAGAAAAAGCTGTTTCCATTTTTAGGAAATGACATTTGGTTCCATTAATAGAATTGAATAATGGGTCTGCAAGAATATGCCAGTGTACACATCATCCATTTAGGACAGCCTATTCTGGACATTGCTTCTCTCAGTGTAATCAATCTGACATTGTTGTAACGCTTTCGGTTTTTAGATAATGTGATTCCACAGGGTGTCCAACTGTTCATTGTATCGCACGCCTGTGTGACTGACTAGCCATGGGTTGACAATCTATCACATTGTAGAGGCACCTTTTGCTTCATCTATTCTTTTTCTAACCGCTTTCACAGTGTTTTTCAAGTCAGTTTTTGTTTCTGTAATTGATTACATTTGGACCTTCTATACCTAACTCGCCCACTCTGCTTACCAGCGACACTGGTTTTGGTAAAAAGTGTGGAGTAAATGTGTTCAAATAAATTTAATTCCTTAGTGGGCTTAATGAGTCATGCCACTTTATGCTGCCATCTTGCTTGACAGAACCATGTGACTCATATTAGAGTTATTGTAATAGTAGAGTGTTTGGAACTAGTGTTGGGTCCAAGTCCTTAACCAATTGAGTTTGAGTGGGGAACATTTATTCATGTCTTGTTATCGAATTTTTTAGACATACTCATTTTATCTTTCATGTTACACATGACGTGGATTCCAAAATGTCTGGATTGAGTCCAAAATGTCTGAGTCTGTGTCGAGTCCCCCCGAGTTCGTCTGACTTTGAGTTTGTTAATAATTGCAGCCTGAGCCCATGTACCTTAACTCTATTTAATAAATAAAATCTAATAAATAAATAAATCTAACTTGGCATTTGTTAAAGTGCAAATGAGACAAACAGGATTTGTTTTCTCTCAAGCCTTCCCAAAATTAAATCTTAACAAGAGACAGATTCATGCTCCAAGACAAATGTGAAAGGTAGAATTTACATTTTCACTAGGGGTATACACAGGAAATAGAGAGAAATTAATGACTCTGTCAGGACAGCTTTTGTTATTTCATTAAATAATTATTAAACCCCACACCATGAGAGTGTGATTTTGCTTTTAAACCATAGCAGAAAATGCCATTTTAAACAAATGCTTTCCAGTGAATGAAATCATATGTTTGTCTGCAATTTAAGTTTACAATAATACTTTAGTACTTTAAATAAAATCCATGTTGACACCAGTTTGCATGAAATTTAAAGAAAAGGCTTCAGCAGGGCACTGTCACGGAATGCCAGGAGAGACAAGGTAAGTTCCAAGTGCAGTTTATTGAAAGTAACAAATAATCAAAAACAGAAATGAAAATGTGGCAAAAGGTAATCCAACACAAGGAACAGATACACGGTGAACTATGAACAGCATCGAAGAACAGACAAGGGAATGACAAATACAATATAGCCGCAATGACAGACAGAGTGAGCATGGTATATATAGATGGGATAATGAGTGAATGACTAGCAGGTGAAAGTGATCGGAACTGATAAACAGGTGCTGATGATCAGACAGAATGACAAGCAAGGAACTATGGGAATTGGAGTTGAACACATAAAACAAAGAAACAGGACCTGTTGGGGAACAGAGTGTGGTAAAGTCCTTGTTGGTGCTTGTTGAGAGGCTGTTCGGGTTGGACATATTGTACAATATTTTTTCCATCACAGCAATAATCATCAGTGAACTAGGAGATTAAGAGGGTTATCAGTGAGGATCTCAGTAAAACCTACACAACAGAGCAGGACACCAGGCTTCTTTACTACTGTTCGCTGCTGTTCTTGAACTGAATTTTTAACGACTCTTTTTTTCTTCACATCACAAGAGGCATTTCAGATTTTACTTTATTAATGTTAAGAAAGTGTTTCATTGATACATATTCATCTCTGGCACACCGTCATTAAAATATAATGACATAATGCAAGGCTTTTGAGTATAATTTTTAGACCAGTGCTGTGATTGAAAGAATAGTTCACCCCATTATTTACCAATTTCCAGAAATTCTGTTGAATATCTCGGCTCTCATTTCAGTATAATGAAAGTAGATGAAGACTGCGGCTGTCAAGTTCTAAAATGACAAAACGCACCATTAGTATTGTGTGTTACAGTGATCAATAGCTACTGTATATGTCATCTTAAGGCATAAGGTAGCTTTGTGTGATGAACAGCCCTACATTTAAGCCAATATTCACAACAAATCTTGAAATGAGACCTACCTCTTAATAGCTCTCATGAGAAAATTTGGTCACAGTGCTGAGCGTTCACTGGAAGACAAGATTGTCAGGGAATAACACAATTTTATTGTTACTCACTCAAAGCTATTGTCTAACTTTAGAAGACTTAGAATACAGCATGAAAATCATATTATTGGCTACTTTTATGGTGCTTTTCTATTCTTTCTAAATCAAGAAGGCCTCAGTCTCCATTAATTCTCCATTCTGAAAAAAAAAAGTGGCATACAAAATGACACTAATCTAGTAAATGACAGAATTAATATTTTTGGGTGAACTAATCTTTTAAAACATGGCCCTTCTGCTCAAGGAGGGGTTTGACCAAAAAAATCTGCTCACGATGCTAAAGATCCAGATCCTCATCTGGCAAGTCAATGTGATGACATTTCTTTTGCTCTCCAAACTGGTCATTATGCATTCCTGGAACTAGTGTTTTTTTCTAAGAGAATGTGCCTTTAGCTCATTCATGCTGAATAAAAGGGCCACTTTGTTAAAAAAAAACACAATAAGGAATACATTTTCATTTTTCATTTATAAGAATCAATAAGAAAAAAAAATGTATATGTATTGAAAATTGTTTTTTGACGAGGTCTTGCTTCCTGACTTGGAATAAAATCGAATTGAGGTGTCTAAACCTTCACTGATTATAGAGAATATTTCAGTTATAGAGAGGCTCAACCACCTGCAGATTAGGGGATGCTGTGGTTTTGAGGAATGTTTATTTACAGTTCATGTCCACTGGCATGGAGTGGAGGTGAGCGGCAGGATTGCATGGGGGATTGTAGGATTGACAGAAGAGCACAGCAAGCAGTGAGAGTGTCACAATTCAGAAGTGCCAGTCAGTCAGTAAGGTGAAGGCAGTGACTTCTCAAAAAATCTCACTTTGACATTTTAACATTTCAGAATGTTTTCCACACCAGTAGACATATATTGTTATAAATACATGGCTACCTTGTCTTTTTTTAAAACATGATGTATTAGATTTGATTAGATAGATTTGAAATACTGTAATAGGGCTGACTGTCTTGGTAATCAGCGTATGTCTTGTTTTCTAGCTGTGCACAATAATCAGTTAACAGCAGATAATTTGATCTAAACAGATTTCTCATGATTTTGATTCTTGAATGTGGCTGAAGATAAAATGCTTGACGAAGACCTTAGGGTCGAAACGTTGTGATTTTAATAAACTTTGTTTTTGAGAGCAGTAGTGGCAGTGTGCCGATTTTTGTTTATTGACAGTAAAGATAAAATGTTTTAATGATGTATGCTTGTATTGTAATGAAGGATTTGTTTCTTGCAAGCATGCAGCTTTTCACCTTACAAGACATGAACTGATCGATTAGTCATGGCGATTACTTATGGATTATTGTAATGTTTTTATCAGCTGTTTGGACACTCACGGCACCCATTCACTGCAGAGGATCCACTGGTGAGCAAGTGATGTAATGCTAAATTTCTCCAAATCCATTACTTATCACAGCACCATTAATAAAATGTATTTGTGGAAAAATGTAAATAAAAATGTTGAGGTTTCTCTTTTGAATTTAAAGAGTGTTTGCCGAGTTCTGATAAGTTCTGATAACGATAACATTCTGAAAAAAAAGGAGAGAATTAAGACATATTAAAAGATTTATACAGTTGCTCTTGTTGCAAAGGTTGTTCTAAAATTTTACTTCTTTTGACCAAATTTTAAAGGGGTCATATGACGTTGCTAAAAATAACATTATTTTGTGTATTTGGTGTAATGCAATGTGTTTATGCAGTTTAAGGTTCAAAAAACACATTATTTTCCACATAATGTACATTATTGTTTCTCCTCTATGCCCCGCCTTTCTGAAACGCGTCGATTTCTACAAAGCTCATCGGTCTGAAAAGCGAGGTGTGCTCTGATTGGCCAGCTATCCAGTGCATTGTGATTGGCCGAATACCTCAAGCGTGTGACTGAAATGTTACGCCCCTTACCATACTGTGATGCCGTGTCCCGGCGCGACGAGACAAAACCAGTAAAACCCATTATAAGCGAGGCATTTGTTGCATCCTGTGGGGACATAATTACTGATTATAATGACTTATACTGTCTACACTGCTTAAAACTCACGTTTGAATCGTCAGTGGCAAATTCTTTAAATATGAAAACGTACTTACAGGCTGTGAATCAGAAGCGCCACTGTCCTTGCAAAGTTGGAATTGCCCCACTTTGTAGAAACAGACACCGGCATTGTAGGCTACTCTCCCAGGAAGCAGTCCTCGTCCTCCATAAAATGCGCTGCACACATCTGAATATTTGGGTTAAACTGTTCCGGAACAGTGTTGTAAATACAACTTAACCACTGATTTCTAGTTGTGTCCTCTTTTGGAAGGCCAAACAAAGTAGTTTCGCTTTCATAATGAAACACACAGCGTCTCCACAACATGGTGGCGGCGGCAGCAACAATACTACAGCGAGAATAAAAATTACACCTTTCTTTGCGTGAACATTTGGGCGGCGTTAATCTTCCCACACAGTGACGTAGACGTGGGGGCATGCTAGAATGAGCCGTTTTAGGTAGGTAATTTAGGTATTAACTTTTATAAAGAATATCTCTTTGGATTTGAGACTTTAGTCTTTGCAACTTTACAGATCTTCTTTATGCACCAAGAGCTTGTAACACTCCAAAAAACACTTAAAATTTAAATCACATCATATGACCCCTTTAAGGCAGCATTGGTTAGGCATAAAGTGCCTATTTATTGGGCGTAAAGTTGCTCATAAAGTTGGACATATAGTGTGTTCCAAATTGGCTCTTGTGATGGGAAGAAAGTGGTGACTAAGAGATCTATTTTCGCTTGCCGCGATAGATGGTGCTGACGGTGATACTGTTGTTAAGCCGCAACACCGGTTACGTCACTTGCCCACCGCGGCACCGACACCTACCGTCGTTTTGATTCGTTTTGATTTTTTATAGTAGGGCTAATAAAAATCATTTAGTTCAGTAAAAGAACAGACACTACAATTAAAAACTGAACGCGGCTGCTCAATGCAGCGTGCCGAACGACAGTCGTTATGTAAGTTATGTTATTTTATATTAGGCATAGCCTGCCCTATAGCATGGTGTAGCCTATTTTTATTCGTTTTGTTAATAAAAGTTCTGTTTTATATATACTGTAGGCTAAAGTGAGTTTGACATTGTATTTTGTTGTTGCATTCAAGCCGAATTGCCGCTAATTCGAAAATGAAAGTGTAAGTAAAATGCGCACAACGCTTTTAAGCTATTTAAAAGCGAAGGAAAACGAGCAAAAGAGGGAAAATTCAAACGAACTAAAAATTAACAATTGCTTTACTCCGAATTGCCGCTATTTGAAAGTGAAAGTAAAATGTGCACGCCGCTTTTACAAGCTATTTAAAAGCGAAGGAAAGCGAGGAAAAGAGGGAACGCCCCTGCCCCCACGTTGATACCGGTATTATCCGTGTTGTCACACGTCGATTAGCTGGTGGGAAAATTTCCTCACCATCACAACCCTATTCTCGACATAATAAAAATGCAAACAGACAGACAGACACACAGAGATTCCTTCCTTTATTAGAGAGAAGAATATGTTCAGCCCCCTCCCTCTGAACCTTCGAATATTCGGTGTTGATTACTACCGAAGCTTCGAAGCTCAAAAAAAAGGTATTCGGACCAGCCCTACCGTGTAAACTACAAAACAACACGAATTTGTGAAAACAGTGATGTCATTCATATCTGTTCAGTCTATAGGTATGTGCACAGGCGTGTAGTGTTTCTTTACAAAGTGACATCACAAACTATTGGCCTGGCATGCATAATACAGTGTTTTAGTCATTTTTGCAGATCCGTGTAAATGGGGATCATTTTGACTGCAGTGTTGTCTGTACTTGAAACGTTTCAAAATGCAAACCTTTCAGTTTTTAGTACACTGTTGTCATATAAATGTACCCCATAAAACCAGAATGCTTAATAGCTCTCACCCAAGGTCACACAGGATTTTCTTTTTCAGGATTAGGGTCCATTATCTATTGTAGATATAATAGACAGGCAAAGGGAGGTTTAAGGGTATTCTGTGGTTTATTTGCATTACATCCTGATTTTAAATGTACATTCCAGGAGGTCTATAATACCTGGAGAAAGCTATCTGCTAGCATCCCCATTCAATACCAAATTCTCAACTGGGATCCCCTTGAGGTGTGCAGGTTGATATCTGTCACAGATTGGCCAGGCTCTCTCACCTCCACTACTCAGCGCTCCCAACGTCACCCGAATATTAACTACCTGTACTACTCATTAATCATCGATGTCATCAGCAAACTATTTAAGCACACACCTCAGCCTCAGGCAGCGTCTAGCCTTAAACTAGGAAAGACCCACTTACCTGGTCTCTGTGCTTTCCTTTTCTGTTTAGACATAGTTTTTCCTATGTCTGTTCATGAAGTTATTTCCAGTAATGACTTACCTGTGGATTCCATTGTTGAGGTGTGTGCTTCTCCGTGTCCATCTGTAAGAGAAGGACTGTTCTATGTTTCATCTATTCACTGCTCATTCTGGTTATACTCGCATTACTCACCTGTGTTCTCCCGATCTCGCCCTGTGTCCAAATAAAGTTGTTTTTGGTTCATATTCCCTCTGTTCAGTGTATATATCCTGATAATATCTGCCATCTTTGCTTATGGGCACTAAGTCTTGTAACTAATCAAAAAAAAAAAAAAAAAAGATTAAAAGAAAGATGACTTTTAGCCTGCAGGTTGTGTAGTTGCCATGCTATTATTTATTTAAAAAAAAGTTAAATAAATAAATACATAAGAACTGTCAATTTTGATTCAATGGTGACTTTAAGCCATTTGATAGCCATTTTTTATTTAAAAAAGCAACCATTAGATTCCAAAGTAATTACATTCCAAACTAATTACACCTCACGAGGAATAACAGTCAATTTTATAATGGCTGTTTTTCTGAAATGAGACATGATGATGTATGCGGCCAACAAATGTGACCTCAGGAGGGCACAGACATTGAAATGAGACACAACTTTTGTATTCAGATCACTCATACATGATTCAGATCATCAGCTCATTAGGAGAGAGCTCCGTGAACTGAACTGCGCGCTTCAGATAATACATATAAAATGTGTTCCCTGGAACCATGATTGAAAACCACCTACCAAAGAAGTTCCAGTATGCAAATATGTTTATGTAAATTTATAAAACTACTTGTACCTTCACTGCAGTACTCCTTGTAGGCTACTTATACTAAAACTGCTTATGTAAGGGAAAGTTCACCCAAAAATGGAAATTGTGTCATCATTGTGTCATTTTCAAGTTGCAAACCTATGAGATTCTTTCTTCTGTTGAGCACAAAAGAAGATATTTTGCAGAATGTTGGTAACCAAACAGTTAAATGCGTAATTTTCTTTCAGGTATACCTTTTTTATTATATAGATGTAATATTTTCTTCATTCTATTTATTTTTATTTATTTATTTTCATTTGCACTTTGTTCTGCACTATGTTCCACCACTTTAAGACAAATGGATTTGTTGTGTTTTCATATTCAAGAGATTATAAATTAGATGCAACTTTTTTTGGGTTTGCATCGAATGTTCTTCGACTTTTATGCATGATAAATTTGTTTATGAATAAAGATTTATCTGTTGAAAGCAGTTATTTTGAGTTAGATGCCAAAAGCTCTCCACCTATTCAAATTTGACATTGAAGTAGTGCATACAACATATTTGCCCACCGGCAACTATAGTTGCCGCACATTCAAATACTATTTTCAAGAAAAGAAAAAAAAAGACCTGGGGAAAATAAATGCAGAACATGTTCACATAGGACACTATTAACGTGACTATATGCATGAAACCATTCAGAAAAATTTGGGCACAAATAGGTTAAAATACTGTATACTTTTATATTGCAATAATTTCACATTCAATCTTCAAATTAATGTAGAAACAACATAAACACAGTATATTTTTAAATATTTGTTTAGTGGCATCTTTTTCATGTATGAAGGTGAGTATCACTGATACCAATGCTACTGATGTCTGTTGGAAATAGTTTTTTTTATCCTAATATTTAATCACTGAGTATAGCCATTCAATATTACAGTTGCTATAATCGATAGCTCCACCCCTGTGTTAATTGCGTTAATTTGATTGTGATGGATCGTTTCCCGTTTCCGAGACACGAACACAGGATTACTCCATCAACAGAACCTTACAGATGACATTACAAGATTACAAGAAACTGTGAAGGGTAAGTTGTGAAAAATACAGTTATTTTATGAGAGAGTTATTTTTATTTTATGAGAGACACGAAATTTTGTTGTATGCTACATGAAATGACAATAAAGGTATTCAATTCAATTCAATTCAATCAAAATATTCATCTATTTCAAAACAAGCGTGTTTTCAAAAAGTAAAGAAATGCTTATATTACTTCAGTGGCCAACTGAGCAAACCAACCCCGTGACGTCACATGCTACGGTATTGCAAGATGGCGGCGTCCTTGCTCCAAAAGCTATAATAAAACATAATTTTTCGTTAAAATTATTAGATTAATCGTGTTCCGATCACAACAAATTCATGCAGAAATGTGCACACTGTTGCTAGGAGACGCATGACAAAAGAAAACAATGTGCGTTCTAAAATCAGCGCAAAATATCGAACATGTTTAATATCCTCCATCTGGATTAAATTATAGACTGAAGCTAAAAAATATGTTTCTGTGACCATCATACACTACGCGATTTCCTATGGAATCTGTCTACTCAAATCTGCAGACTGGCTCTGACTTTCGGCACTTTCTGGGTGGTAAAACAATATCATATTGAGTCACGATAAAATTTATGTCAATAATGATGATAAGATCTGGTAGGGCTGCACGATTATGACAAAAATCATAATTGTCGATTATTCCCTTAAAATTGTAATTGCAATTACTAATTACGATTATCACAATTTACATTGGATGATGTTTATAACATTGTTTTATGCAACTGCATGCCGTAATTTTATATGAAAATAAACAAGCTGAAAACACTCTAACTGAAAAACCTTTAGTGTTTTTCTATAGTATTAAGCCTCAAATCTCAACTATACATCGGATTGGTTTCTTCTTTAAATTATAAATAATGTTATACTAAACCTAAAATTGAAATAATGGGAAAAACCCTTAAGATAACATGTAGAAAGAAAAAAACGCATATTAAGCACGCAGAATAACATAAGTGGACTTTGAACGATTAATAGGCTAACTCTGCTTGTTCTGCGTGTCTCTTGTAACGGGGTGAAGAATCACACGACAAGTAATCTCAATCAATACCCCGGAGGGTGGATTTATTGGGGTGATGTGTGATAGGGAGAAAGGTCCAGGTAGGTGCTCCGGTGCCGTGAGTGCTCTCTTCCGTCTTCCCAGTGCAGAGGGTCCGTGCAGTGCTTCTGTGGGGCTGGTCGGTCACACGCTGCTTTCTGTGGGAAAAATGAGAGGGCGAGTTAGTGCTCAGGCTCATGGAGGAATCTCCTAGATGGCCGGGCTTGCGTGGCTTATGTAGCCGCCGCCTGATGAGGTACAGCTGTGACCGATCAGCCTGTGATGATGATGGCCAGGTGCTCCTCGCTTGTTTCCAGGTGAATGATGAAGCTTCGGGACGCTCGTCACACTCTGTATGAATGAACTCAAACACATGCGAAGCTCATGGTGTTTTTAGCATCTGCAAATCAAATACACACTGAAACTGAAAGTAAAACTTAAAGACCTTCACTCCAGCTCGTCAAATTAAAAGTCCAGTCTAACCTGAAGAAATTATGACAGAAATATTACTCTTTTATACTAAAATGTAATTCTCAAGTAATAATAATATTTTTAAGGAATATCATACAACTAAGGTATTTTTTCATTAATGTATACAGTTATACAGTGCTGTTGTGCAGCATCTTATTTGACAGACATAAATAAATGCAATGTTTTCTTGTAAATTCATAATGTTTTCATTACATTTTAAAAGATTGATTAAATTGTAAAAGTTTCACTAATTCATTTAATTAGACACCATTTTATGATAAATTTGTATTGAATCATAAAACACTGAATCCATGGAAAAATAAATAAATAAAAGGGAAAACAGAATTTAGGGGAAAAATAGATTTCATGGGTCCCTAAATAAAAAACTAGCTCTGTGGAGTTTAATTGTGATCAAACAAATTATCTTTACATTCATTCTCAATGCCTAACAAACATGTGGAGAGCATTTCCTTCCACATGAATGGTAAATGAATATTGTGGAAAAATATCAATATTAAATTAT